CGAACATAAACTATAGTTTGAGAACACTTATAGCTATTTTTCTGTTCTCATGAGAACAGTCATCGAGTCTGAGATTTCGAACACTGGTTCCAGCTCATCTTACCATTGACCTTACATCCAAATCAGCTTCGTAATGCAGTAATGGTAGTTTGAAAAATTAGATATTTTATCGTTATAATTAACCGCTGCTAGCGATATTATGTGAACTTCGAAATATAAAATCAAAAAACGAAAAATGATTTATATAAGACAGTTTGCAGTGTGTTTTCTAAGCACACAACTTCTAAGCCTAGTTTAGTGATCTGGATCTGCAAAAATTTTCTAATCGGTTAGTTGGTCCCAACTTTTGTAAATTACATAGTAATTAAATAATTGGTTAAAAAATTTTTTTAACTTTATTATGCAGATAGATAGGGTTGTTAATGGAGTACTCCAAGCTATAATAAAACATATAAACAACTCCAGTTTTAAACTGGAGTTGTTTATATGTTTTATTATAGCTTGGAGTACTCCATTAACAACCCTACAGATAGATGATCATTCAACGATTAGTTTTTAAATCGATTAGTTCGACCTAATCGATTTTCGATTCATGCCACCGACTCAGTTCTGGCAAAAATTTCCCCAAATGTAAGACCTTTTTGATCCCAAGCACATATAGTATATAGGAATTTTTTGAATTTTTTTTGTACGTTGTAACTGTAAAAAGTCATCGGATCGGGCATCATAGGTATCATAAAAATTACTAACCAGATTGCCCGCGTGCATTAAGTAAACTTGTAAGTAATAATAAATTCTATTTATATAATAAAAATCTTGGAAAAAATCGTTTTTTTTTAATACTTTAATCGTAAAAAATTAGATGTTTCACCTAACAAAAAATTCTTACAAAAATTATAGTAAATTACTATTTAAAAGAGCATATTAATATGAAATTTGAAAATTCCTATTAACCCTAACCTAAATAAAATATTCAAAGAAAAAACCTACAAGCTATGTATGATTTTCCAAATATTTCAGCATCATCCGCGACCATTGTACCATGTTAAATAATACCTTATAATAGTGATCTTGATATAGTGATCGGGAATTATAAAACAAATATAATTCAAGCTCTGTAGAAATGTACATACTCTAAATACAAAAGTCAAAAGTCTACATTTTTAAAAAACATACTAAACAATAGATGAATAAAAGGTTAGCATGTATAAACATATATAAATTAAAAGCAAAAGAAAAAAAATCACTTACTGGAAGTAATTTCCATTTGACAACTTGACAATAATTATCCCAATACTTTCCATACTTTCCTCGGCATCGTGTATCATCCCGGTAAATACGATGAATTAAAAGTATAAACATATAAATAATGTAAAAATATGGCAACAGATGATTAAACCCACAAGTTAAGCACATTGCTGATGAAATAAGCAAGTCACCAACATAGTTGAAGTGACGTGATATGCCTATAATAAAAAAATATAAAAAACATTAGTTCACACAAATAAATAATAATAATAATAACGATAATATTATTATATCAAATACCCCAAAAACCACTAGTTAGCAAAATACTATTATGTTCTTTTCCATCACTTGTAACATAATGTGTTTTAATATATCGTGCAGGTTTGCCCCATATAAGACAATCACCATTCATTCGACGAACAACATCCTTTTGGTGATTAACTGCTCGAAAAATATAATACCCAGACAACCCAACTGCGAGCACAAATAGAAAATAAGGAGTAGAAAGATCAATATGGTTGCGAGCCAAGTAATGAGACTGGACAGTATACTATATAAAAAAAAAATTATATATATATATATATTATGATTAATTTAATTGACGAATTGCAATTAACAAAGGGTATGATTAAGAGTTACCATCCAAGGAAGCCAAACAGTATCACCCCACGCCAAATAAAATCCAAAATGATCATGTGCAATATCTAAAATATTAATAACAAATAAATTATTTAAATAATAATCAGCATATAAGGCCAATAAATATTAATTACCTATTGTTCTTAAGTACCAATCTTCATTATAAAAAAAATCCAATACATAAACAGCATGCAAGAAGTTTAACAAAATCATAGAATTCGTTACATATCCTTCAATAAAATAGAAATGTTAAATAATGTATTTCTATCATATACAAATAAATTTAATTCATTACAAATCATATTCACCAATTTGATTGTATTGAGCAGCGGCAAATGATAAATTTATTAAAGTCCAAGCAATAATTCCAGGTCTTCCATTATGAAATAATTTAAAATCCCAATATTTCCCAAAACGTGGATTCATTTCAATACCCATCAATAAATCATAAATGAAACTTCCTGAAAATTTACGATCTTCTGGATGTGAAGGCATGATATATGCCTTTGCATATGAAAAGAATGTAAGAGAGTATCCGTAGATGCAGGCCGCAATGAGAAGAGAGCCCCAATTATCATGGATTATTGATGCATCCCACCAATTGAAGTAGAATGCGCCCACAAGATAAAGAGTATGAGTAATAAACCAAGCTAGTAACCCGTTTACCTAACATAAGAGCAAACATTAATATTATTCGTATAAAAAAATTTTCTCAAACTTTTATTCAAAATCGCGATATACTTTATAAGGTAAGATATATCCTGCGGGCGTTTGCTGACCATATCCTATTTTTGCTGGCAATACTGCATAAAGAATTGCCTGAAAACTTAACCATAATGCATATATTTTTAATCCATCCCAAGTAAACTGAGGAAGTTTTTGTAATGCTACGGAATCAAAAGCTTCTTTGGAAAATCCACCCAATTGAAGACGGTAGATAGGTTCATATAGTGAACATTGATAATGGGTGCAAGTCACCCAAAAGACAACCACCAATAAAGGACAGCAAGTAAGAATAAGTGTGGAAAGTAATACGGTAATATAGGAAATATCTATGAAGATGTGATAAAAAAAAAATTATGTAGTCATCGAAAATTCAATAAATTAACATATCGATATTATGAATACCTACGCACCTCTATCACGACCCCAAGTTTTTCCCGTTTGTGCTTTTAAACTTGGTGCGAACTCACTCTTAGTTTCTTTGGCCTCTGTATTTACTGATTTTCTTTGTCGTGAAGACATTTTCGATAATTAAAAAAGTTCGTTCTTTTGATCTTCGGAATACCCATTTATATATATACCCGATGAGCAACAACTCGATCGATTTTTGATCGATCTAATTTACACAAATAATATTTAAGTATGTGTAACGGTGCCAAAAATTCATTTTCGGTTTTGATCAACGTTAACTTAAACCGTATCGAAAGTTTGATCGATCCCTACGTATTAGCCAATCACATTGTGGATTTTCACAAGTACGGTACTTTTTGGTGCCTATTTACGTGCCATACAAAAATTGTTTTTCGTCAAATGTGGATTTGCGGAATTGGGTTTACATGGGTCTGTAAAAATGTATCCTAAATTTTAGTGACCAAAAGAAATATGATTACTATTTAATGTAAATTGAACGGGTAATTAACAATAACGATACAAAAGTTTAACATCGTTACTCCTTAAATTATTTCTATATACCCATGTAAACTAATTCCGATATGGATGATCCGGATGAAAATATGCTGGCTTGGTTACTTTTACGAATATGGAATTGGAACTAAAAAGGATAGGCATTCATTTATCAGCAGAAATGAATAATTCTAATGGAATATATCAAATTGGCTATTGTTATTGTTTGGGAATTGAGGTTAAAATGGATATGCATAAAGCATTTATACATTATCTAAAATCAGTTGAAGTAAGTAATTCTGTGGAAATTTTTAAAACCACAGTTTGTTACGATTATGGAATTTGTGTAAAAGAGAATGAAGACAAAATATAAATATTGGATTAAAAAGCATGTTACCGTATTTGTTATTTTTGTTAATGTACAGTCTTTGAATTTACGTTGAATTGGAAATTCTTAAAACTATTTACTCTTTAGGCTGTAAGTCGATGACTAATATCCGTTTATTATAAGACCATACCCCCTCCCACCTAAAACCAATCAAATTGTATGATTTGATTATACAAAATAAAAATATAAAAAAATACTAAGGGAATTACTATTTGTACACGGGGTGTTTGAACACAAGTATGTTGATATCTCAAAATTTTGATTATAAAACACAGTTCTAACAAAAAAGATTCCTTGCAAATTTTAGTATAAATTATAACCTTTTCTAACCCTAATATCAAATCAGGTTTAATTTTTGACTTACAACTTATATGCTATACGAATTTGTAAATCAATTAATTAATACCCGTGTTTAAACACCCCATGTACAAATAGTTATTTTCTTTTATAAAATATTTAATAAATAAAGATTTTTTGATTGGCCAATATTTTTGGTGTATAATCTAAATTTTAGCTATCCTCACTCCCGAAATTATGTACTCAGTACACTATTGTTAATCAACTGAGTAAAATTTTATATTAAAAGTTCTAAAGATTTTCTCTGTAACATTTGTTGAATTAACTGAGTAAGATAATGTACTCAGTATAGTACGAACATTTGCGGGGGTGGGGTCTATTACTGGGTGATCACAAAGCATCCGGAAAATGTGTACCAGGTTGGTGGCGCAGACAAAATTCTTAAAATTCGTTAAGTTTAGGGTTAGGATCAGGGTTAAGAACTAGAGGGGAGTAGTTTTAATAGTAAAATTGTCCAACGAAAACTTTTTGTTAGAGCACAAAAGGTGGTTTCTTATACTAATTTTTGAGTTATGAGCGATTTTTGGCAGAACGAACGTTTGTTTTGAATCTTCTTGATTGTGTTACGTTACACCTAATCTTGAAAGCTGATTCGTAGAACAGAAGAACTACGTCACCAACCTGGTACACATTTTCCGGATGCGATCACAAATTGGCCAATCAAATCATGTGCTTACAATAAGCAAAATAGGGTTGCAAAGATAAAATAATCATAGCTTACGATATCTCTGGTCAATTTTAATGATTCTACTATCATTAGACTCAGAAACAATTTTATTTAAAAACTTAAAAAAAATTTACTTAATCAAATTTGCTTTAAAATTAAATACAATAATTTTTGTGGCAGATTATAATGAATTCCAGGTCAAAATAAAATTATAATTTAAAATCTCGAAAAATAAATTTTTTTGGAGTGTATTTTTTAGGATTAGGGTTAGGGTTAGGGGTTAATTTTAAAGTAAAGTTATAATAAACAAGTATAAGTGGGTTTTAGAAGGTTAACAGGTTGAGTAAAAAATATAGATTTTATTTTAAATTATAATCTTAACAATTTTTGACAATCAGTTATTTGGAGAGAATCTGCAAATTTTTATAAGTAAATTTTGCTATTGAGCCAAATATAAAGTGCTCCAAACTAAAACTTTTTCTTATTAAGTAAATCACTCTTGGGCTTCTAATAAAAGAGCTCATCTGTCACACCCCCAAGCAGCAGGACAAGAGTTCGAATCCTACTGGTGATGAAATTTGAATTTTACAGAATGTGTTACAGCAGACTGTGTGTAATCTGATGGATCATCGGATCTGTAGTTTTGGTCGTACCAGCTTGTACTGGAAGAATGTGTAACTATAGTGTGATGCAAAAGTTACATGAAATCTGAGTGAATCGTTTGTGTAAATCTAAGGGTTGGAGCACACAGAATCTCACTTGGCAAGTCCCGAGTAGAGAGGTAGCACAGATCTTCAAAAGTGCTACATAAAGGATTATTACTGAAGATCCGAAAACTGGACAGGACCAAGGTGTTTGGCAAGGCACCATACCAACCAGGCCATCAGTGTATTTTGAGGAAGGGGTCCACCCTTCTAGGCTATCTGAATTAGGAGTTTGGAGATCAGTGAAATGATAGATGGTCCGTAAAGTGGGTGCTAGGGCTTGGGTGAACTCTATAAGGGTAGGAGTAGATAATGGTAGTGGTTTCGGCTTGCAAGTACTCGTTCTTGAACTTGGCGTAAGTTACTGAAAGTTTAGATTAGCCAGATTGTGAGTACAGAAAGCTCTAGCAATAATGCCTCGAGGATAAATTAGTCCTAAGGCTATGGTACACATTCAGAACTCTTGACTGACAAATATAACAGAGTGTTCCAGTGATACAAAGGGCAGTGTACATTATAGAGGGTTTAAATAGATAATCCCCTAGTTGGGTTATAGATATGGCAGCTAGTATAGAACTTATGATATACAGTTATCTATACACAGACTACTTAAATAGGTGCTCAAAAGGTGCATATGTGGCTACTCTCTAATATAATTGGGGTTCCATTGTGAGCTCTCCGCCCATTATATTTGAATAAAAATTTCTATGCCAAAGAGGCTAGTTAATAAAAAAAAAAATGAAAGAGCTCATCAAGGTACATCTAATAGTAGTAATAATATTAAAATTAGCCTAATAATTTTGAGAAATCTTTAAAAAACATTTTGCTAATATAAAATTTTTTAAAAAAATATGTCAATGAAACATTTTTCAAAGATTTCTCAAGAACCACTAGGTCAATTTTAATGTTCTTACTATTATTAGATGCATCTTAATAAGTTTTACAATTTTTATTAAAAGCCTAAGAGTGATTTACTTAGTAAAAAAAGGGTTTTAAATTAAAGCATTTCATATTTAGCTCAATAATAAAATTTACTTATAAAAATTTGCAGATCTTTTTCAAATAATAGATGGATTATCTATTAATAATAGAAATAATCTATATACCCTTTATCTTTAATTGAGTAATACTCTAAACTGGGTGCTAGTCAAAATCCTAACAAGCATAATCCCAACAGGTTATAATCTTAACAAAAAAATCCCGACAGTCAAAAATCCTGACAATTAAAAATCTTGATAATCAGGTAGAAATTCCAAATATGAGATATGTTTAAAGTGAAATAGACTCTTATTTTTTTTTTATTTTATTTTTTTTTTTATAAGGTGTCCTTCGAGACCGAGCTTTATTGATGTTTAACTGTTGACCACGTGGGTCTTACATTTAGTATTACAACGAGAGTACAACTAGCCA